GTGTTTCGACTTATTCCATTATGCGTATGCACGCTCATTCCGCAGCTTTGTGATTCAATTTGTCCTTGTCTGTGTGGTGTTCACCGCATACTACTGAGCTGTCAGTTTGGATCCCGGTTGACAACGAGGGATCCAGCTGGATCTAAGGTAAACCTTCTATCATAAACAAATTGGTATCCAGATGAGCGTTTAAGTTGAGATTCGTGCTATTCGGGTTCAGTTAGAACATGAGTTTGGCAGAAACTCGGCCACCGTGACTACCTGATGAGCCCTAAGAAAAGCAAATCCGGTCGCGGGCTGTCGAAGAGCTTTCAGCAAACTTATGGGTACTTCTATAGTCTGTTCATTACCTAAGCACCACACGCTACTCATCAGTTTGCTGCAACCTCTTTGGAGAGTTAAGACATCTCAAATATTATCCTAAGTGACACATGACGGGACTGGTGTCTTCTTCATGTCACCTACCTTCCTTTTGTGGTAGGCTTCACGTAGTCAGAATACTCCGTTGGAATGTAGGGATATTTCAAATGGTACAAACTTTTACTATTCATGGCCAGAAGAATGGTTTTGAAAGGGGATTAACAGGGTTATCGAGTTTTCGGGAAAGTTTACAAATAATCGGTAGATTCAATAGTTTATTAAGTTAAAATCAAGTGCTGTGCTCCTAAAGTCTTTTCTCTCAACATTTCGGAAGCCTTACTTTTTATGTTTGGGCGGCTGGGTTTGAATGAAGATTTTATTCAATAGTTTGAGGAGTTTTGCAGGAGTATGCAAACAGCTGATAATGAGCTTTCAAAAGCAGTTTACTTAGTTTAGGCGTCTCGTTGCGCTCAATCTCGTCAAGTTTGCAAGGTGAGAACAAACGAACGCTGTTAGTTTCCGGAGTTCCAGTTTTACACATCCTTTGGGTTTACGTCAGCCGACAGAATGTTCGCCATCAATCGGTCTTCTCATGGACGATGAGAGGTATCGCTTCAGAAGAGTAGGCTTCTACGGTGAGATCTTTTCATTCGCTGGTGGGGTGCTAAGTTCTGGGAATCTTTGTCCGATCGTGAAAGATTTCTCCACTTTCACGCTGCCCAAGCTTAGGCAGAAGCGGCCGAGATACAGAGGTTGACTTTGAATCACCGACATTCCAGTCAGTAATTTCGCGGTTTAAACAGTGAGCCACCTCGAAATTCAAATATCGATTGGTTGTTTTCTTATCTAACAAATGTGCACAAGATTCAATCATTACCATGGATGGGAAGTTTCGTAGCTCAACCTGTGACGTTAATAGCGGAGTTGTTATCCTAGATTAGCGATTCTGTTGCAAAATTCCTAGGCCCCGTGAACGACTCAAGCATCATCACGGATGTTTTGACCCAAGCCACGTAGTGCAATCGTGTCTCGAACAATGCCAATTGGAATATCGTGAAAAGAACTCTTTTCGTGACTTCCTGAATAGTGTAATGTTTCCGAGCTACATGTGTTTAGCAACTTGGCTAATTTCGAAGGAGGCTGACACAACAGACCAATGATGGACAGCTCTGCTGGGATTGGTACTGGGTTACCCAGGTCAAAACAATTTCTGATATTGTTGCGAGAGTCAAGTAGTTCCAGGACGGGATTAGAAAGGAGACAGAACAGGACGACGTAATGTACGCTTTATTCGTCTAATAACTGTAGTACATGAGCTGAAAATAGAGTGAGAATCACGAGTTAATGGGTTATGCAAAGATATGGGTTATGTAGTCATGACATTCTCCCCGCCTTGGAATAAGTGTGTACTTTGCGGAGAAAGAATGTAAAAAAAATAAAAGGCTGTAATAGTTACATGGAGTCGTTTACGCCTCTCTGTTGCGTAGATTATATGGGTGAGTGCGCTGTTGTCGGATAAGAATGTCCGAGTGATTTCCTGGATCTGCACTAGAATGGGATGGCGAAGCATCGTTAATAGGCAAGAGTTCAGTTTCTGAGCAACCACGGTGGATTGTTGGTGTTGCGTGAGGCTCCTCTTGTTCGGCGATATGTATTGGTTCCTGTTCTGTGTCGGATGTCATGTCGTTGCCTTTGGGAGCCAAGCGGCGCAAGGATACTGTTTCGTGTTTGCCATCTGGACGAACTATGTGGGCTTACTGTGGATTACAAGAGACGAGTTCCACTTCCTCTACCAGAGGGTCATATTTAGAGACTCGATCATTGCGTTTTAAAAAGATTGGCCCAGGGACAGTAAGCCAGGTAGGTAGGGAGGCACCGTTGGCTGATCGTCGTGTGAACGGCATAAAACGTTCGTGTGGGGTACAGTTGATACTAGTACATAACAGGGATCTGATACAGTGAAGAGCATCAAGGAGGACAGCCTCCCAATGTGTGACAGGCAAGCCGCGCGATTTTAGAGCCAGGCAGATGGTCTTCCAAAGGGTACCATTAAGTCGTTCAACCTGACCATTACATTGTGGATTATATGCAGCGGTGTGACTACTGGCAACGCCTTTATCGAACAAAAATTGTTTGAGTTCAGTTGATATGAATGCAGAACCGCGATCTGAGTGAATATAAGCAGGCATACCAAACAGTGAAAACAGTTGACTCAAACAACGAATTACAGTGGAAGAGGACGTATCGGCGCAGGGATAAGCAAAAGGGAATCGAGAATACTCGTCAACGATTGTTAAGAGGTACTTATTACGAGTGTTTGAGGGAAGTGGGTCTTTAAAGTCGATACTAAGGCATTCGAACGGTTGTGTGGCTGGCCACGAAATGTGTCACAAAATTTTAGTTTGAGCTCGGAGCATGTGGAACAGTTGGACACCACACGTCGGATATCGCTGACTGAAAAAGGAAGGTCCTTAGAACGAACAAAATGTGAAAATCTCGTGACCCCGGGATGGCATAGTATGTTGTGAAGCTCTTCAGATTTTTCCGTCCCAGCAATGTTGGCACAAAGGTTACGAGATAGGGTATCAGCAACGCGGTTATCTGTTCCAGGTCTATAGACGACGTCATAGTTGTACCCTGCCAACTCGATTTTCCACCGTTCAATCTTGTCGTTCTTTATTTTACTTTTCTGTTGGTTGCCATACATCAAGGCGACCGAACGTTGATCCGTAATCAATTTAAAATGTCTCCCGAGGAGATAGTGGCTCCATTTGCGGATCGCTTCGACTATAGCATATGCTTCTTTTTCAACAGCAGAATGATTTTTCTCGCTTGCAGTCAAGGTTCTGGAGAAAAAGGCGACCGGCCGGCTACCCTGGCTCAGGGATGCACCAATAGCGATGTCGGACGCATCAGTTTCAACAACGAGAGGAATATTGTAGTCGACAGTAACTACCATCGCATTTTCTAGTTCGTGTTTAAGGTTCTCAAATGCTGTTCGGGCATTCTCCGGGAGCGGAAATATTTTGTTTTTAACCAATGGATGAATTTTGTCAGAGAACGCCGGTATCCACTGTGAATAGTAGGCAAACAAACCAACGGCTCTTTGCTGCGATTTCCCGTTCTCTGGAAGTGGGAGTTCTCTTATGGGGCGCATGCGTTCTGGGTCAGGTCTTATAATACCTTTGGAGACCTTGTAACCTAAGAGAGTAATCTCTTCAGTTGCGAAGCTGCTTTTCGTATCGTTCAAAGTAATATTGTATGTTTTTGCGACATCGAGAAAATGCCTAAGATTACGGTCATGTTCATCTCTCGTTTTGCCGCATATAGTGACGTTATCGATATAAGCGAATGTGTCTTTTACCTGTTCGGCTTTGATTATATTGTTCAGCGTTCGCTGAAAACACGCGACCCCGTTTGTCACTCCAAAAGGAATGCGCCGAAACTGGTATAGGTTCCCCCCAGCTTCGAACGCTGTGAATGGCTTGTCTGACTCGATTATTGGAACCTGATGATATGCACTCTGGAGATCCAGTGTGCTGTAGACGGTGTAGCGTGCGATGGTTTCAATCATTTGGTCGAGTCTTGGTAAAGGATAAGCGTCAAGGTAGGTGAAGCGATTGATTGTCTGGCTGTAGTCTATCACCATGCGTCTCTTGTGATTTGCATTGCGGGTAACGAGCACTTGTGCTCTCCATGGAGAATTCGATGGTTCGATTATGTCATCGGTAAGCATTTGGTCTACTTCGGTTTGTATGAATGTTTCGTCTTCCGGTGTATGACGACGACTTCCTGGCATGCGTGTTTTAAGTGTTAGTTTTTGTTCTGGACCGTGTGATACGCCTGCGAATGAGGAAAATCTTTCGCGATGATGAACTACCGCCTGCTCGGCCTCCATCCACCCAAACATTCTGACGTTCAGACAGTTCAGAGCAGAAGCCAGTTGTTAGACTGCTCAACTATTTTTTCGCAAATTCGGCTGCTTTTTGACTACAAGCTGTCACCTTCAGTGGACTGACCCGTTTTGATTGACCGAGTTTGGTCCCGTTCCTTTCATGTATCAGGTGGAATAAGATCAGCTTCACGATGTCACACGTACATACCTGTGCATACCTGTTATAGCGAGAGTGTAGCTCGTTTTTCGCACGGGTAGGGAGGATATCACCTGCAAAGAGAATTTAGTCTTCAAAAAAACTTAGCCAGAAAGAAAGGCACTTCATCGTTTCTCTCAAGGAGAGGTTACTGGGTTCTCAGTGAAAAAGAGTATTACCACAACTGTGTTTTGTCCACAGGTGTTAGTCGCAGACAGGTGTTTTAATAAACGGGGTGAATGTTTACTTCCAAATCATATCAAATTATCATTTGAGCTATGTCAGCCTGCATCTAAAGTGTAGCCCATCGCCCGTCTCTGTACAGCAGTTTAGAAACAATACGTACATTATCAAGCATTGGGGTTGGGTTATGTAAAACTATCCAAAAATAACCTATTGTTCTTCGATTTTCTCAAGTGTCGCTTTTAATGAGAAAGCGTCTTTGCAAAAGAAGATTTTTGGTGAAAATCGGGTCGTTTTGGAAGGTTTGTGGACGGGATTCCAACGTTCTCTCTGAGTTCCGATTACCAGGATGGCACGCCACTGTATCTAGGACTTGGGAAGAGCAACCGGCAGGTCAGAACGTTGATCCATCCCCATGAGAATGCCTAACCGAGTACGCACAATGGGCAGTGGAAGGAAGGAATGAAATTCATCGTACAATACGATTGCGACCTGATTAATTAATAGGCATGAGAAGGTAGGGCATCCATAAAATGTTTCGCTCACTTGACAGTGATAATTAGTAGCCTACTTTCAAACGGTAAGGCTTCGATTGATTGTTAGAAGGCGGTAAGGGACTACCGTAGATATTCGTGTTTCACCACCGCGATAGTGTAACCAGACTAGGTAGGCGTTTGAGATAGTATAAAGTCAAACGAACAGAAGGCCATGGAACAAATGTCAAAAAGCTTAAAATATCTGGAACTGTCGTGTGATGTTTTGTCTTTGTGTTTTTTTTACCGCAGCATTTCGGCTGTGAACCAAGGATTGTCCTTATATCGTGCCCCAATTTCATATAGACTAACCGCCTATGTAGGACAAGGTCCAAACTGCAGTTGTCTATTCCAAAGCGCCTGTAAAGCCAGACAGAACGAAACTACAAGCAGGAAGCTGGTGGGGTACACTTGCTCTTTAATTTCGCTGACAAAGTCCATTCTCTATGAACAAAGTACCTATCCCGCAAAACCCCAAAACTGCAACCAAAAAGTTGCTCACTAGGTTTCAAACGTATGTCATGCTACCTGACTGGGAAGTAATGACTGGCAGGTCAATCGATCGTCACAACCAGGACAGTTACTGGGTCGGCTTTGAATGAGTCGGGAACACCAATCACATCGCCCAAATGTTAACAGGCTCGCCTGTTCAGACGTGAAAAATCAGGTGCGTCCAGCATGCGTTGGTGGAGTAGCGGCTACACGCTCGCCCCGCATGTCAGATATCCGGAGTTCAGATCCCGGCACGGCCTTCGAATATACCCTAATAAGATGGAAACTCTAGTCCAGTGCTTCTCTTTGGTGTGAACTTACCGGAATAATTACGTCAGAGCAGGAGGACGACCGTTCAAACGAGAGTGGTATGACTATGAACCGGATACATAAGTTTTGAAAGCCAGTTTGAGGAAGTGCTTGTGAAAAAACAGCCAACATTATTTGAAAGTTGCTTATTGTACTCTGGGAATCAAGAGTAAGGGATCGCTACTTTAATGAGTCCCATATAAAGTGCAAATAATGAGATCGCTTGTTATCAGGGCATGACTGTGATTGTATTTCATCATGTGAGTAGTGTGCTTTACATCTTCCGTGGGCTTACTGAACATTTCCTCTGCTTTACAGGCAGAAACCTCAGAAACTCGAAACCAACAGATGTCATGGATGTCGTTAAAATGACGGCCGGTCTCGACCCAGAAGCGATTCAGTTCATCAGTGAGAGAATGCTTGAAGCCAAACAGATGAGATTTCACGAGCTTCTCAAACGCATCAACTTGTGACATTCCACGTGAGAAACACGTGAAATGCGCACTTTTTCGAATAGCTAAAAATACATTCCAAAATACCAACAATTGCTTCATTCAGCCAAAATAAACGATACATTTTTACTTTTTCAGCGCTATTTTTTGTTCATGAGAGGATCACTGACCAAGTGTAAGAAGCATTTGTGCTAGGATATACTGCACACTGGTGAACGAATAAGGGTCCGACGAGAGAGTGGTTACCCATCAAATCAAATTCATGTGTACCATGGCCTGCTGGTATACACATAAGTGATAAGGGAATTTCAGCTTTCGATTCGAGGCTGTATGTGTGAAAGCATCAATAAACGCCTGTTGTTATGCTCACAAACCAGAAAACGCACACCTCCAAACTATGTACGTTGATCCATCATACTATGGACCCACCGTATGTCTCTTTCAGTCGAATGTTCCAAACCAGGTTATTGTGTGCTTGCTCATCTTACCGTCCAGCAAGTGCTTTCCATTCAAAGTGATTTCATCAGAGTAGAGTAGTGGTAGGTGTTGCCCAGAGTCAAACGGTCAGGACGAATATCAGGCTGCCCGCACCAGGCCACCATCTACTTAGTCAAGCACGTGCCCCAAGTCGTTCAGACCGTGTCAAAGTTCGCTTCATTCTTTGCGTGATACTCAGCTGGCCACTGCCTCTGTAAGTAATTGGTGCAATTCGCGCACACTACCCTACCCGTCGTGACAACCTTTCCCTTAACGCTGTCTGTCCGCCTATGGATTCAATATGGTTATCTTCATTCTTAACTGCGCGCCTGTTTTTTCTCCGGTAGTCTAACTTTGCTCACGGGTCTTTTGAGCCCCTACTCTCTCTGTGTGCCGCATTGTTTGTTCCGTGAGTTCATGTACTGATGCGTCACCTCAATTGTAACTCAGATACCGTCGCAGAATCTAATAGCTGTATTCTACCTTGCAGAAGTCCTAGTTGCTAAGGCGTCCCGGGGGAAATTCGGCTCGGATACTGACAAAGAGTTTGAGCTTCATGTTGGTTTTTTAAATCCAAAACACAGCGTAGTGGAATGAGAGGTAATCCGGCGTTTTGGTTGCAGTGGTCAGTCTTTTTCAAGAATCTCTACAGTCAGTTGAATGAGGGTCAGTTGTAGTGCTCCTGCGATCAGTTGGCAACCCGGTGCGACCAGTGTCTGTTAGCTCCACGTTTGTTCAGTTGGGCATGATTGTGCGTGTACTTTGCTTGGGATGTGCTTCCGTTTATTGTTGTGACGACTGTAGTGCGCCTGTTTTGACAACTCTGGCTACCATGCCTACTAAGATGTGCAGTAAGTCCAAGCAGGACGGAATGCCGGAACCGTCACTACGGTTGACGCAGTTCGGTTGTGCTGATCTTCAGCGCCCCTTGCAACTGGCTGTGTACCATTGAAGTTGATTTTAAGGTTTGACTCAAGTGCGTGAAGTGCACTGGCTGATTCATGGTCAAGTCTTTTCCTTAAACTCTGGTTTTCAACGGTGGTCGAATGTGAATGCCAACTGGTCACGGGAACAAATCAGTCAGAATGAACCCAAATGACACTGAATTTACCTTGTATTCAATCGGTCGTAGAAATCCTTAAAAATGATTGGTCACGTTAACCGAAGCATCGGATTATAAAACCTTATACCACTACACTCTGTTTGGAATTTAAAAATCCCATATTTCAATTATTACTTCCCCCTTATCGATCGTATTTTGGTGCTTATGCTGCACAAGAAGTGACATGTTTCTGAACCAGACCAGAGGTTCCTACCTACCCATATGCTGTTGGTCACAATCTTGTTGTCTACCACCCAGTATCCAAACACCAGGTCTCTTTCCTAGGTCCGCGTATGTACTTTGAATTCATGACACGACTCAATGAAGTAAAAGTTCTTGAAAAAGTGCCACTATATAAAACCGGAGGTGAGTTTTCGGGGAATCAAATCACTGTACGTCTGTCAATAATATAAGTGGTTTCGAACATAAGCTCAGACTGTCCGAAAAATCGATGTCGCTCCTCCAACCTCGTCAACATATCGTACTTTGTGTCAAGTCGCACGGACCGTGAGTTATCAACCGCAACCAAACAACGCGACTCGAACCTGAAGAACATGACTCCAAACCTGGTGCTCATTCAGTAGCCTGCCATTAGCCGGCGTACTGTATGAATCCATCACCCGCACTCATAAAAACATCCCCTCAAACCTGTTCGAATCGGAAAGTTTACGCCCATAGTACAACATGCGTTATTTGATGCAATCTCCCTAAAAAAGTCAAAATTTCACGAAATTTCGTGACCCGTTTTGTAACAGCGTGTTTCAGTGAAGCATTTTGCTGCCATTCCTATGAATCCAAACGGTCAGCCTGTGCGAACTGAGGTGACCTTTATTACTTTGTAGTTAAACCAAGTCATTCTTTATGTTATTGTTCATTTTCCGGTTAAATTCCACGTGTTTTGTACAAAACGTCGACGAATCTGAAGTAACCAATTGGGTCAATTGGAATATTTCATACAGAAAACGCATCACAAGATCTGACATTATTTTCCAGTTGGGCACCACTGGAGAGCGTAGTTCAATGTTCGGTAGCCAATGAGAGGGATCTGAAATAACAAACGAGTAGGTATTCAAATGTTTATCACCAGGCCAACAGAATTCTGGTCATCTGATTGAAGCACGCATTTTCGTCTGTTCAGTCAAACGGAGTCCTCAGTCTTTCCAGCTCCATAGCTCGAGAAGAGGAGACTCTAAATTGGAATGACAGTGAGGCTCTATCTATTATTCTGGTCGCAATCTTGTCCAGAGACAAGATGATGATGGGTAGCTGATATATAATCACCGTATACGTTTTTGTGAACAAAATCACCGAACGAGAACAACCGAGCTGGTGTCAGTTCGGGGGATGGGGTATGATTTCCCTTAGAGGAAAGTATGTATGTATTCCAAATTTCGCTAACAAAACAGCGATACACTACAACTGGTGTATTTATATTTGGACTTCCATTTAGAGCACTAGCTAGTTGAACAGCATCCTCTTATAGTCTCCTATTTATCGTCCACGAAAACCATCAACACAGTGAAGCATGGCAAACTCCTTCAGGAGCCTTTATTGTACAAATCTGGCCTGGAAATGCATCCGAGTTGCTTGGTTAAGTCCGGACTTTTGCACAAACCCATTGTGGAGACTCTCATCCTGCTATGAACAGTCTCCTCAACGCGGGATCAATCGAATAGCGAAACTCGAGCTGTGTTAAGTATTCACAACCATTAACGAATTACACTCGGTTGCAAGTCACGGTTACCTTAACGACTGACTCCAATGATGGCCCACCCTTACATCAACGTGGCGTAAAAGAAAAACTATATCATCACATAATCGCAATGTGACTTTCAAGGAGGACATCTTCTTGATGGACTGAGACGAGGAAAGCACAGCTGGTCGTGGACTGTCCAAGAGCTTTTAGTGGCGTCCGACGTCAATAAATTATGCAAGACTATACTAAATATTACTAGTGATGTTCTGTGGTTGCCATTTGCTGGACGCTGAACTCTTAGCTATGTAATGTTGATGGGCTAAATTCAAACGAAGGTACTTTATTACCATGTGAGGAGTTTTTCAGTTGTATTTTCAGCAATGCTCCACAATTTTGCGAATAAAGCAGCAAACATCTATCCGTCAAAAAAA